GACGCCCTTTCGGGTTTTTCCCTGGGTGTAAAAAACCCCCTTTTGGGAGTATGTTTTTGGAGAGGGTTCAGGGGTCACTGCCCCCAAACAGTTGGTCTGTGCCCAGGCCTCATGATGGATAATTTGGCCTCATTAACCAGGCTTTTTACTTTTGGGGCCACACGAAACCCCCGGACATAGGGACCCCCCCACCCCTGTTGGTCGGGTACTGATTCGGGTTTGGGCCCTGTCCGTCCTTCTTGAAAAACAACCGGGGGTTTCTATTGGAAATTTCCCCCCTTATGTATGCTGGGAGGCGGGTTAAAACGGGTTTTGGGTTTTTAAAAAATTTTTTTTTAAAAAAAACCTTTATTTTAAAAAATTTTCGGGAGACAAAATGGGGAAATAAAAAGGAGGAGAAAATTGAGAGATTTTGCCAAGAGGCTAAGAAAATTTTGGGGGTTTTTTTTTTTTTTTTTTAAGTCCCCATTCCCGTCCCCTAACCCATGTGGGGAGGCTGTTTTTTTTTTTTTTTTTTATTTTAAGTTCCCATCCCATTTTTCCTTTTGGCCCCCTTTGTTCCTAAAGAAAAGTGGGGGAGTTTTGCCCTAAGTGTGTTTTTTGGGAAAATTCCCTTGGCATTTAGGGGGGAAAGGCCTCCCCCGTTGGTAAAACCAAACAAAAGGAAATGAACTGTTGGTGATCCTAAAAAACCCTTTTTTGCCCAAAGGGAAAATTAATTCCCTTTCCCAGGGGGGCCCTTTGTTTTTTTTGCAAATAAAAAAAAAATTTTACAAATTTTTAAAAAGGAAGTTTGATTTTTTTAATTAAGGGGTTTCCTTTTTCTTTTAAAAATTTAAAGGTAAACCTTCCCCACAAGGTTTAAATTGTTCCCTTAAAAAAGGGGGTGGTATTAACATTTTTTTTGATTCTTAAAATTGTTAAAACAAAAAATTTAACTTAAAAGTTGGGGATGAAAATTGTGCTAAGTTGTATTTTCAAATTTTTCCCCAAAGGATTGCAGGTGCCTGTAAGGCCTACTGTTTTCCCCCTAAGAAAAATTGGCAAACTAAAAGTTTGTTTACACCCACAGGGGGAGGGTTTATTTTGGCGGGTAAAATTTTAACCGTTTCCCTAAAAACTTTGTTAAAAACACAAAAAGGTCCCAAAAAGGGGGTTGGTGAGGGTTTGGGGTCTTTCCCGGGGGGGCGGGGTTTTTTCTCCCCTAAAAAGTTTTTTGCACCCTTTTTTGCCCCTTTTTTACGGGTTTTTCCTTTCCCCCCCCAAAACCAAACAAATTTTATTTTTTTTTAAATTTTAACCAAATGAGTTTTGGGGGTTTAAATTTAAAATAAAAAACACAAAAAAGGCCCCGGTTAGATCTACGTTGGCTTGCGTGGGCGCTCCGAAGTTTTTTTACTTTTTTTTTATATGCTTTTTTGGGGGAAAAATAAAAGGGGTCAAAAGGTGCTTGCGTGAAAACGTAGTCTTTGGACATTTTTAAGGGCTAAAAAACTCCCCTCAGGGGGGTTTCCCTTGAGCTGGTGAGGGGCCCCTTGTTCTGGGGGAAGGATTTTGTGCTTCATTTCCCTGAATTGAATCACAAAAAAGAACAAAAGGGAAAGGGGGGAAAACACTGCGCGGGCCTTTTGGGCCCTACTGGGCAGGCCCTTTTACAATCCACCCCACTAACAAAATATACCCCAACCCCAATTTTAAATGCTACCCAAAAATAAAAAGCTCTGAAAAACTCTCTCCATTTCTAGAAAAAGCCCCACTCAAACCCAAACCCCTCTCACTCGTGTTAACCCTTTCCCATCCCCCCCCCCCACCCCCCCCTGTAAAATCCAAGGGGTTTAGCGTTTCCCCCATGTTTTTAAAATAAAAATTTACAAAGAACTAGATTTTTTTTTTTTTTTTTTTTTGTAAATCGTTTAATTTTCAAAAGCATCCCCTTGGGTTTATTACTTTAGGGAAAGTCGTTTTAACCTGGGGTTTAATCCAAAACCCTTTGGGGGAAAGGAAATCAAAACCAATTGGGGGTATGGGCCTCGTTTCCCGGGAAAACATTTTTAAAAAAAAAAAGTTGTTTGAATAAAACTTTTAGGTGTTGTTTTCCTAGATATCCATTGTGGGACTAAAACCAATTTTTGCTAAAAATAAAATAATACACCCAAAACCCCCACTTAATGAGGGAAGTTCTTTTCCCTGGACCACGTTTTTAAAACCCAAATTTCACGGTAAGGGGGAGCATACTGAAAGGGTTAGTGAGTTTTTTTGTAAACCATATTTTGAAAAAATGTTTTAACAGTAGTGTACTGTCCCAGGGAAACCCCCGAGTTTCGGGGTTTTTAATCCGTTCCAGAGGGGTTTTCCCCAACCCTGGCAAAATTTTCACGATTGGGGGAATCTTTTTTCCCCAAAAGGGAAATAATGGAAACCCAAATTAAATCTGTTTCGGGCAGCCAAAAAATTATTAAAAAAAAAAAATAATTTTTTTTTAGATTAAATAAAAGATTTACAAAAGGGAAAAAACAATAAACAAAAAAATATAAAGCGTAAAAAAAAGGGAAATAAATGAACTTTTTAAATCACACTTAACCTTTGTTAAATTCTTGTTGGTGTAGGGGGGTAGACAGGGGGCAAGAAAAAAGGGAGTTTTTTATGCTTCAATATGACGCTAATTTATCTTTACGCCTTATTTATTTATCACAATTCTTTAAATTTTTTGGGAATTTTATAAACAATTTTTTAAAAAACATGGAAAAACATAAATTTAAAATTACTAAAATTGAATAAAATATGTCATAATGTATAGAGGATTTGGGACGAAAGGGTTGTTGTTTTTGGGGTTTTAAGGGGCCCCGCCATTGAGAAAACCCGTGTTTGGTCCCCCAGGGGTGGCTTTGGTCCCCACCCCGTCACCTTTTTTAAAACTTTTGTTGTAATTTTTAAAAAAAATTATTTTACTTTTTAAATTTATAAAAAGAAATATTTTCTTTTTAATTTAAAAATAAAGAATATTTACTTTTTAAATTTAAAAAATAAAGAAATTTTCCCCTTTTAAATTTTAAATAAATAAGAAATACATTTACCATCCGATTCGACCTGTTTCGACTTAGGGACCATTCGACTTACGATCGGTTTTTTATCCCAAAATTTTTCGGGGAAAAAAAAAACCGTATTTTGTGTTTTTACACAGTGTTTATCCCAAAACCCTTTAAACAGTATAAATACAGTTCCAACTGCATAAAAAGTAAAGTAAAACAGGGGAAATTCCCAAAAAAATTAAAAAAAACCAAATTTAAAGAAATTTAAAAAAAATTTTTGTTAAATTTTCCGGTAGTAAAAGTTCGACTTAGCCCAGTTTTTTTCGGAACCGAACTCGGTTGTAAGTGGATGGTAGGTGCTTTACATTTTTAATTGGCAGGGCAGTGATCAGGTCCCTTATACTTCACCCACACTAACCCTGAGACGCATCTTCAATATCATACACGTAGGCAGGGCCAGGAGCTGAGTCTCGACCCCTGCAACCACAATTAAGTGAGTACACGTCAGGTTAGGTCAGGTAAGATGAGGTAAGGTTAGTAAGATTATGTTAGGTTAGATCAGGTAAGATTAGGTTAGATTAGGTTAGGTTAGGTTAGGCTAGGCTAGGTTAGGTAAGGTTAGGTTAGGCTAGGTTAGGCTAGGTTAGGTTAGGTTAGATTAGGTTAGGTTAGGTTAGGTTAGGTTAGGCTAGGTTAGGCTAGGTTAGGTTAGATTAGGTTAGGTTAGGTTAGGTTAGGTTAGGTTAGGTTAGGTTAGGTTAGGCTAGGTTAGGCTAGGTTAGACTAGGTTACGCTAGGTTACGCTAGGTTAGGTTAGGTTAGGTTTGGTTAGGCTAGGTTAGGCTAGGTTAGGTTAGGTTAGATTAGGTTAGGCTAGGTTAGGTTAGATTAGGCTAGGTTAGGCTAGGTTACGCAAAGTTAGGCTAGGTTAGGCTAGGTTAGACTAGGTTACGCTAGGTTACGCTAGGTTAGGTTAGGTTAGGTTTGGTTAGGCTAGGCTAGGCTAGGCTAGGCTAGGTTAGGTTAGGTTAGGCTAGGCTAGGTTAGGCTAGGTTAGATTAGGTTAGGTTAGGTTAGGTTAGGTTAGATTAGGTTAGGTTAGGCTAGGTTAGGCTAGGTTAGGTTAGGTAAGGTTCGTCAGGAAACAGAACAAGTGTTTCCTGACGCTGGTCTTAGCCATATGACCCACAGCTGGAGTTTTTGGTCATCTGACCGAGACCTTCCACCGGCTTACCACTTAGTTACAGCCATTTAATTGTTCTGAGTTGACTTATACCATGTCAGCTGAGGTACTGAATTATCAGGTTTTTTTAATTATTACTAGTTAGAAACCAATTTTCTGCTTCCTATATTCCATCATTTTTCATAATTATTTTAGTACCGTCATAAAGGATGCTTGGAAACTGTAGTTTGTGTTTTAATATATGTTTTTTTGGGTTAATAATGAGAAATAGTGAAGATGGCAGGACCGTGCCCAAAGGGCAGTCATCTTTTAAATTAGAATTTTTTCTGTCTTTTATTTTGGGGTATTTTTTATGCTTATTACTGTCCATATACAATTTTTGAAAGCTGGGGTTTGTGTTTTAATATATTTTATTTAATGATTAAAATTAGTGAAAATGGCTGGACCGTGCCCAGAGGGCAGTCATCTTTTGAATTAGAATTTTTTCTGTCCTTCATTTTGGGGTATTTTTCATGCTTATTACAGTCCATATAAATTTTCTAGAAGCTGCGGTTTGTATTTTAATATTTTTCGTGGTTAATAATGAGAATAATTAAAGATGGCAGGACCGTGCGCAGTGGACAGATACCTTTTAAAAAAGACAATATTTTGGTATTTATTGTTATTTTTTTGAGTGTTGTGTCTCAAAGAAATATTTACAAAATAATTTCCAAATATAAATCTCTCATATATTGACCTTATTTAAAGGAATATTATAAAATGGAGACATTTGATAGATGTGCGGGTTGTAGCAGTGACAACAACAAGTCTCTGACGTCTGCTACTGCTTCCTGTTGCCTGTTGGTCTCTAGCTCCTGGGATCCACCTCACACACGGTCCTCTGTGAGGGTAATAAGATCACGGGGGGCACCAAACCCGCATGGGTTAGGAAGTATTAATGTTACCCAGCTAGGATAACCCAGGGTAGGGAGTGTTAGCCAGCCAGGATAACCCAGGGTAGGGAGTGTTATCCAGCCAGGATAACCCAGGGTAGGGAGTGTTAGCCAGCCAGGATAACCCAGGGTAGGGAGTGTTAGCCAGCCATGATAACCCAGGGTAGGGAGTGTTAGCCAGCCAGGATAACCCAGGGTAGGTAGTGTTAGCCAGCCAGGATAACCCAGGGTAGGGAGTGTTAGCCAGCCATGATAACCCAGGGTAGGGAGTGTTAGCCAGCCAGGATAACCCAGGGTAGGGAGTGTTAGCCAGCCATGATAACCCAGGGTAGGGAGTGTTAGCCAGCCAGGATAACCCAGGGTAGGGAGTGTTAGCCAGCCAGGATAACCCAGGGTAGGTAGTGTTAGCCAGCCAGGATAACCCAGGGTAGGTAGTGTTAGCCAGCCAGGATAACCCAGGGTAGGGAGTGTTAGCCAGCCAGGATAACCCAGGGTAGGGAGTGTTAGCCAGCCAGGATAACCCAGGGTAGGTAGTGTTAGCCAGGCATGATAACCCAGGGTAGGGAGTGTTAGCCAGCCAGGATAACCCAGGGTAGGGAGTGTTAGCCAGCCATGATAACCCAGGGTAGGGAGTGTTAGCCAGCCAGGATAAACCCAGGGTAGGTAGTGTTAGCCAGCCAGGATAACCCAGGGTAGGGAGTGTTAGCCAGCCATGATAACCCAGGGTAGGGAGTGTTAGCCAGCCAGGATAACCCAGGGTAGGGAGTGTTAGCCAGCCATGATAACCCAGGTAGGGAGTGTTAGCCAGCCAGGATAACCCAGGGTAGGGAGTGTTAGCCAGCCAGGATAACCCAGGGTAGGTAGTGTTAGCCAGCCAGGATAACCCAGGGTAGGTAGTGTTAGCCAGCCAGGATAACCCAGGGTAGGGAGTGTTAGCCAGCCAGGATAACCCAGGGTAGGGAGTGTTAGCCAGCCAGGATAACCCAGGGTAGGTAGTGTTAGCCAGCCAGGATAACCCAGGGTAGGGAGTGTTAGCCAGCCAGGATAACCCAGGGTAGGGAGTGTTAGCCAGCCATGATAACCCAGGTAGGGAGTGTTAGCCAGCCATGATAACCCAGGGTAGGGAGTGTTAGCCAGCCAGGAAAAACCCAGGGTAGGGAGTGTTAGCCAGCCAGGATAACCCAGGGTAGGTAGTGTTAGCCAGCCAGGATAACCCAGGGTAGGTAGTGTTAGCCAGCCAGGATAACCCAGGGTAGGGAGTGTTATCCAGCCAGGATAACCCAGGGTAGGGAGTGTTAGCCAGCCAGGATAACCCAGGGTAGGGAGTGTTAGCCAGCCAGGATAACCCAGGGTAGGGAGTGTTAGCCAGCCAGGATAACCCAGGGTAGGGGGTGTTAGCCAGCCAGGATAACCCAGGGTAGGGAGTGTTAGCCAGCCAGGATAACCCAGGGTAGGTAGTGTTAGCCAGCCATGATAACCCAGGGTAGGGAGTGTTAGCCAGCCAGGATAACCCAGGGTAGGGAGTGTTAGCCAGCCAGGATAACCCAGGGTAGGTAGTGTTAGCCAGCCAGGATAACCCAGGGTAGGTAGTGTTAGCCAGCCAGGATAACCCAGGGTACGTAGTGTTAGCCAGCCATGATAACCCAGGGTAGGTAGTGTTAGCCAGCCAGGATAACCCAGGGTAGGTAGTGTTAGCCAGCCATGATAACCCAGGGTAGGTAGTGTTAGCCAGCCAGGATAACCCAGGGTAGGGAGTGTTAGCCAGCCATGATAACCCAGGGTAGGTAGTGTTAGTCAGCCATGATAACCCAGGGTAGGGAGTGTTAGCCAGCCAGAATAACCCAGGGTAGGGAGTGTTAGCCAGCCAGAATAACCCAGGGTAGGGAGTGTTAGCCAGCCATGATAACCCAGGGTAGGGAGTGTTAGCCAGCCATGATAACCCAGGGTAGGGAGTGTTAGCCAGCCAGGATAACCCAGGGTAGGGAGTGTTAGCCAGCCATGATAACCCAGGGTAGGGAGTGTTAGCCAGCCAGGATAACCCAGGGTAGGTAGTGTTAGCCAGCCATGATAACCCAGGGTAGGTAGTGTTAGCCAGCCAGGATAACCCAGGGTAGGGAGTGTTAGCCAGCCATGATAACCCAGGGTAGGTAGTGTTAGTCAGCCATGATAACCCAGGGTAGGGAGTGTTAGCCAGCCAGAATAACCCAGGGTAGGGAGTGTTAGCCAGCCAGGATAACCCAGGGTAGGTAGTGTTAGCCAGCCATGATAACCCAGGGTAGGGAGTGTTAGCCAGCCATGATAACCCAGGGTAGGGAGTGTTAGCCAGCCATGATAACCCAGGGTAGGGAGTGTTAGCCAGCCAGGATAACCCAGGGTAGGGAGTGTTAGCCAGCCATGATAACCCAGGGTAGGGAGTGTTAGCCAGCCAGGATAACCCAGGGTAGGTAGTGTTAGCCAGCCAGGATAACCCAGGGTAGGGAGTGTTAGCCAGCCAGGATAACCCAGGGTAGGTAGTGTTAGCCAGCCAGGAAACCCAGGGTAGGTAGTGTTAGCCAGCCAGGATAACCCAGGGTAGGTAGTGTTAGCCAGCCAGGATAACCCAGGGTAGTAGTGTTAGCCAGCCAGGATAACCCAGGGTAGGGAGTGTTAGCCAGCCAGGATAACCCAGGGTAGGTAGTGTTAGCCAGCCAGGATAACCCAGGGTAGGTAGTGTTAGCCAGCCAGGATAACCCAGGGTAGGGAGTGTTAGCCAGCAAGGATAACCCAGGGTAGGGAGTGTTAGCCAGCCAGGATAACCCAGGGTAGGGAGTGTTAGCCAGCCAGGATAACCCAGGGTAGGGGGGTGTTAGCCAGCCAGGATAACCCAGGGTAGGGAGTGTTAGCCAGCCATGATAACCCAGGGTAGGGAGTGTTAGCCAGCCAGGATAACCCAGGGTAGGGAGTGTTAGCCAGGCATGATAACCCAGGGTAGGGAGTGTTAGCCAGCCAGGATAACCCAGGGTAGGTAGTGTTAGCCAGCCAGGATAACCCAGGGTAGGTAGTGTTAGCCAGCCAGGATAACCCAGGGTAGGTAGTGTTAGCCAGCCAGGATAACCCAGGGTAGGTAGTGTTAGCCAGCCAGGATAACCCAGGGTAGGGAGTTTTAGCCAGCCAGGATAACCCAGGGTAGGTAGTGTTAGCCAGCCAGGATAACCCAGGGTAGGTAGTGTTAGCCAGCCAGGATAACCCAGGGTAGGGAGTGTTAGCCAGCCAGGATAACCCAGGGTAGGGAGTGTTAGCCAGCCAGGATAACCCAGGGTAGGGAGTGTTAGCCAGCCAGGATAACCCAGGGTAGGGGGGTGTTAGCCAGCCAGGATAACCCAGGGTAGGGAGTGTTAGCCAGCCATGATAACCCAGGGTAGGGAGTGTTAGCCAGCCAGGATAACCCAGGGTAGGGAGTGTTAGCCAGGCATGATAACCCAGGGTAGGGAGTGTTAGCCAGCCAGGATAACCCAGGGTAGGTAGTGTTAGCCAGCCAGGATAACCCTGGGTAGGGAGTGTTAGCCAGCCAGGATAACCCAGGGTAGGGAGTGTTAGCCAGCCATGATAACCCAGGGTAGGGAGTGTTAGCCAGGCATGATAACCCAGGGTAGGGAGTGTTAGCCAGCCAGGATAACCCAGGGTAGGTAGTGTTAGCCAGCCAGGATAACCCAGGGTAGGGAGTGTTAGCCAGCCAGGATAACCCAGGGTAGGTAGTGTTAGCCAGCCAGGATAACCCAGGGTAGGGAGTGTTTTGCCAGCCAGGATAACCCAGGGTAGGGAGTGTTAGCCAGCCAGGATAACCCAGGGTAGGGAGTGTTAGCCAGCCAGGATAACCCAGGGTAGGTAGTGTTAGCCAGCCAGGATAACCCAGGGTAGGGAGTGTTAGCCAGCCAGGATAACCCAGGGTAGGTAGTGTTAGCCAGCCAGGATAACCCAGGGTAGGGAGTGTTAGCCAGCCAGGATAACCCAGGGTAGGGAGTGTTAGCCAGCCATGATAACCCAGGGTAGGGAGTGTTAGCCAGCCAGGATAACCCAGGGTAGGGAGTGTTAGCCAGCCAGGATAACCCAGGGTAGGTAGTGTTAGCCAGACAGGATAACCCAGGGTAGGGAGTGTTAGCCAGCCATGATAACCCAGGGTAGGGAGTGTTAGCCAGCCAGGATAACCCAGGGTAGGGAGTGTTAGCCAGCCAGAATAACCCAGGGTAGGTAGTGTTAGCCAGCCATGATAACCCAGGTTAGGGAGTGTTAGCCAGCCAGGATAACCCAGGGTAGGTAGTGTTAGCCAGCCATGATAACCCAGGGTAGGGAGTGTTAGCCAGCCATGATAACCCAGGGTAGGTAGTGTTAGCCAGCCAGGATAACCCAGGGTAGGTAGTGTTAGCCAGCCAGGATAACCCAGGGTAGGGAGTGTTAGCCAGCCAGGATAACCCAGGGTAGGTAGTGTTAGCCAGCCAGGATAACCCAGGGTAGGTAGTGTTAGCCAGCCATGATAACCCAGGATAGGTAGTGGTAGCCAGCCAGGATAACCCAGGGTAGGTAGTGTTAGCCAGTCAGGATAACCCAGGGTAGGTCGTCTTAGCCAGCCAGGATAACCCAGGGTAGGGACTGTTAGCCAGCCATGATTACCCAGGGCAGGTCGTGTTAGCCAGCCAGGATAACCCAGGGTAGGGAGTGTTAGCCAGCCAGGATAACCCAGGGTAGGGAGTGTTAACCACCCAGGATAGCTCAGAGTAGGTAGTGTTAGTCAGCCAGGATAACCCAGGGTGTCCCATGGCTTGGTTCTAAGGTGTCCCATGGCTTGATTCTAAGGTGTCCCATGGCTTGGTTCTAAGGTGTCCCGTGGCTTGGTTCTAAGGTGTCCCATGGCTTGGTTCTAAGGTGTCCCATGGCTTGATTCTAAGGTGTCCTATGGCTTAGTTCTAAGGTGTCCCATGGCTTGGTTCTAAGGTGTCCCATCTCTTGGTTCTAAGGTGTCCTATCTCTTGGTTCTAAGGTGTCCCATGGCTTGGTTCTAAGGTGTCCCATCTCTTGGTTCTAAGGTGTCCCATCTCTTGGTTCTAAGGTGTTCCGTGGCTTGGTTCTAAGGTGTCCTGTGGCTTGGTTCTAAAGTGTCTCATTGCTTGGTTCTAAGGTGTCCCATGGCTTGGTTCTAAGGTGTCCCATGGCTTGGTTCTAAGGTGTCCCATCTCTTGGTTCTAAGGTGTCCCATGGCTTGGTTCTAAGGTGTCCCATGGCTTGGTTCTAAGGTGTCCCATGGCTTGGTTCTAAGGTGTCCCATGGCTTGGTTCTAAGGTGTCCCATGGCTTGGTTCTAAGGTGTCCCATGGCTTGGTTCTAAGGTGTCCTATGGCTTGGTTCTAAGGTGTCCCATGGCTTGGTTCTAAGGTGTCCCATGGCTTGGTTCTAAGGTGTCGCATGGCTTGGTTCTCAGGTGTCCCGTGACTTGGTTTTAAGCTGTCCCGTGGCTTGGTTCTAAGGTGTCCCGTGGCTTGGTTCTAAGCTCTCCCATGGCTTGGTTCTAAGGTGTTCCATGGCTTGGTTCTAAGCTGTCCTGTGGCTTGGTTCTATGGTGTCCTGTGGCTTGGTTCTAAGGTGTCCCGTGGCTTGGTTAGGTGTCCTGTGGCTTGGTTCTAAGGTGTCCCATTGCTTGGTTAGGTGTCTCGTGGCTTTGTTAAGTGTCTCGTGGCTTTGTTAGGTGTCTCGTGACTTGGTTAGGTGTCTCGTGGCTTGGTTAGGTGTCTCGTGGCTTGGTTAGGTATCTCGTGGCTTGGTTGGGTATCTCATGGCTTGGTTGGGTGTCTCGTGGCTTGGTTAGGTGTCTCATGGCTTGGTTAGGTATCTCATGGCTTGGTTAGGTGTCTCATGGCTTGGTTAGAGTCTTGAAGACTTGGTTGGCAATGCTGTTGCCTCACACATCAAGTGCCAGTGGTTCAATCCCCAACACTGGTGGAAATGTTAGTTGTGTTTCCTTACACCTGCTGTCCTTGTTGACCTAGCATGTAAGTAGGTACCTGGGTGTTAGTGGACTGGTGTGGGTCACATCCTGGGGGACAAGATTGAAGAATGAAAATGGAAATAAGACAGTCCTCGGGTTATTCTGGGTGTCAAACCCTCTGGAGTATGTCTGGAGAGGGTTTCAGGGGTCACTGCCACCACAGTTGGTCTGTGACCAGGCCTCATGATGGATCAGTGCCTCATTAACCAGGCTGTTACTGTTGGCCACACGCAACCCGACATATGAACCACAGCCCTGTTGGTCAGGTACTGACTTCAGGTGCCTGTCCAGTGCCTTCTTGAAGACAACCAGGGGTCTATTGGCAATCCCCCTTATGTATGCTGGGAGGCAGTTGAACAGTCTTGGGTTAAAAATATGTACAAACCTTATCTTAAATTTTCAGAGACAAAATGGGGAAATAAAAAGGAGGAGAAATTGAGAGACTTGCAGAGCTAAGATTGTATAGTACACATCCAGATACACTGACCCATGTGGGAGGCTGTTTTTTTTTTTTTTTTTTTTTTTTTAACGTCCCATCACCCTCCCTTGCTCCCTCTCATGCAGTGCTAAGACAGTAGAGTTGCCTAGTGTGTTTTTGGGAGGTCTCGCCTGCATTCAGGCGAGACCTCCCCAGAATTGCTCACCACCATTAGAAATGAATTCTGCTCTGGTGCTCCTGAACAGACACGTGCCACCAATGGAAATTAATTCCGCTCCCATGGACCTTGATGTTTCTTCTGCTGGAAATAAAAACCTAAAATCACATAATGTTGTAAACGTGAGTTATGATTGCGTGGCTTAAGGTTTTCCTCTGTGCTTTACACTCGTTAAGTACAACCATACACTAAGGTTCAAATGTTACTTGATGTGTCCCGTATGCTAACACTTTCATTTGTACAATTGTAAATGCAGTAAGTTCTCAACTTACGAACACGTTGGGGACCTGTATTGTGCATAATGATATAATAATATACACAATCCAGAAGATTGTCAGTGTGCTTCTAAGTCAAGGACTCACTGTAGTTCACTAAGAGATTAAGTGAGAAGTCACTACAATGGTGGATTGTTACACACAAAGATGGGTGTATATTAGCAGTGTATTTTATCTGTATGTCATATCACTAATGATTAAAACACAAAAATGTACATAAAAGGTCTGGCCTGATGTAAAATGTGCTGAACATTCTTACGTTTTCGAGATTTTTCTCCCCTCAAAGTTCTGTTGCAGACGTGACTATCACGCCTGTCTTCTCCCCTCAAGCAAACAAACTTTATATATTTTTAGTGTTTACAAAATGTAGTTTATGTTTAATAAAATATTAAACACAAAAGAAAGCCACTAGTATAGATCTACGTTGGCTTGCGTAGCGCTCCGAACGTAGATCTACATTTTTTTATATGCTTTCTTGTGGAAAAATCAAGGTCAGAGTGCTATGCGTGCAAACGTAGATCTATTGGACAGTTTAAGGGCTAAGAACTCCCCTCAAGGGAGGTTCCTTGATGCTGGTGAGGGGCTCTTGATCTAGGGAATTGGATCTGTGCTTCAGTTCCCTGAATTGAATCACAATAAGAACATAAGAAAGGAGGAACACTGCAGCAGGCCTGTTGGCCCATACTAGGCAGGTCCTTTACAATCCATCCCACTAACAAAATATATGCCCAACCCAATTTTCAATGCTACCCAAGAAATAAGCTCTGATAACTCTCTCCACTCATATGCAAGTCCCACTCAAATCCAACCCCTCTCACTCGTGTACCTTCCATCCCCCTCCCCACACACCCTGTATAATCCAATGGGTTTAGCGTTCCCCCATGATTAAAATAATAATTACTTAAGAACTAGACTTCTTTTTTTTTTTTTTTTTGTAAATCGTATAACTTTTCACAAGCATCACCTTGGTTTATTACTTTAGGGCAGTCGTTCTTAACCTGGGGTATCCATACCCTTTGGGGGTATGGAAATCTAACAATGGGGGTATGGGCCTCGATATCCGGACACTTTTAAAAAAAAAAGTTGTTTGAATCAACTGTCAGGTGTTGTGTTCCTAGATATCCATATGTAGACTAAAACCAACCTGCTAATAATAATAATAATACACCCTAACCTCACTTAATGACGAAGTTCTGTTCCTGAGACCACGTTGTTAAACGAATTCGACGGTAAGTGAGGAGCATACTGTAATGATAGTGAGTTTGTGTCAACCATATTTGAAAAATGTTTATACAGTAGTGTACTGTACAGTGGACCCCCGAGTTTCGTGGTTAATCCGTTCCAGAGAGTCTGCCAACTGGCGAAATTCACGATTGGCGAATCTATTTTCCCCATAAGAAATAATGGAAACCCAGTTAATCTGTTTCAGACAGCCAAAAGTATTAACAAAAAAAAATAATTTTTTTTAAGATTAAATATAGATTTACATACAGAAAACAATGACAAATAAATATAAAGCGCTAATAAAATGGATAAATGAACATTTAACATCACACTTAACCTTTGTTGATTCTTGTTGGTGTAGGAGGTAGACAGGAGGCAAGATGAAGGCGAGTTTATTATGCTTCAATATGACGCTAATATCATCTCTACGCCTTATTTATTTATCACAATTCATCTAATATGACATTATAAACAATATTAATAACATAGAAACATGATATATATTCTAGAATGAATAAAATATGTCATAATGTATGAGAGGAGTAAATGACGTAAGTTGTTGTTGTTGGGTTTAAGGGCCGCCATTGAGAGAAGCCGTGTTGGTGGCAGCGGTGGCTTTGGTCGCCACCACCGTCACACTTAAACAATGTATGTAATTTATAAATAAGAAATATTTACATTTTAATTTATAAATAAGAAATATTTACTTTTTAATTTATAAATAAGAAATATTTACTTTTTAATTTATAAATAAGAAATATTTCCTTTTTAATTTATAAATAAGAAATACATCTACCATCCGACTTACGACCTGCTCGACTTATGACCATTCGACTTACGATCGTGTTTTTTATGCCAAATTTCTGGGAAATAAACCAGTATTTGTGTTGTACACAGTGTTTATCCTAAACCTTACAGTATAAAATACAGTACTAACAGCATAAAAAGTAAAGTAAAACATGAAATACCAAAATAAAACAACAAAATAAAGTAATTACAAAAATGTTACGTTGATATTCAGTAGTAAAGTTCGACTTACGACCAGTTTCTCGGAATCGAACTCGGTTGTAAGTCGGATGGTAGGTGCATTTACATTTTAATTTATAAATAGAATATTTACATTTTAGTTTATAAATAAATATTTACATTTTAATTTATAAATAAGAAATATTTACATTTTAGTTTATAAATAAGTTTATTCAGGAATACACAAATACAGTTACATACATAGATTTTCATACATAGCAGCATATGTGTAAAGTACCTACAATAACCCAAAAAAGTCAGAGTGACTTACATATTTCCATTGGGGTCCTTTTATATTTACACTTATATTTACTTGTATACTTACACTTATATATTTACACTTACCTTGGAGGAGATGTTAGTTTAGTTAGTTTGATGAAGGAGATGTTGGCAGAGGTTTAGGGTGGTGGAAGACAGCAGGGCGGTGTATGTTCAGCGGTCCTATACACATCCAACAACATTGGAGAGTTACTCTCATGTTGTTTTTCTATTGCTTACTCGCTTAACTTACTTGCTACACTGTTAATTCTACACTTTATCGCTGGCTGGCACTATAGCCTTTATCGATACCTTCTGCTTTTAGTATCATACATATTGTAGAATCACTGATTCACTGTAGAATCACTGATTCACTGCAGAAGGCAAATTCTCCCCTCTCTCTTCCTCCTCTACTTCAGTACAGTGGACCCCCGGTTAACGATATTTTTTCATTCCAGAAGTATGTTCAGGTGCCAGTACTGACCGAATTTGTTCCCATAAGGAATATTGTGAAGTAGATTAGTCCATTTGAGACCCCCAAACATACACGTACAAACGCACTTACATAAATACACTTACATAATTGGTCGCATTGGGAGGTGATCGTTATGCGGGGGTCCACTGTACTTTGCTATGAGATTTTTCTTGAATTCTATCGTGTTTCTCACCTTCTTTATCAAAGGGCTGGCACTAGGAGCTTTCTTTGGGCCCATGGTGGCTTATTTAGCAGTTGCAAGCACAAACAATGAATTATTATGAAATGTGTGGTATGAACTCATGGGGTGATGGTCACATACTGGTAAACAATGGCACACTGAGTGTGAATAGTGCGGGAGACTGGCTTTGTGTGCGTGCTGACGGGCAGACACGTACCAGAAGGTCACTGAATCATGAGTCCAAGTCACGAACCATGAAGCTAAATTTTGCCGAAAAAACTTGCGAAAGTCGGATTTCACGAAAGTCGCGGCCGTCGAACGGCAGGGGTCCACTGTATATTGTAATAAACAGAATAGAGGAAATCATCTCTGTTGACCAGGCAAGCATCAGATGAGCCTGACCCAAGGTCGGGCTCCAAGCAGAGAAAAGCTCTTCGAACCCGTCAGAGGTATATCAAAGGTACAGGACATTGTCACATTTTACATAACACGTTCATATAAAATTTTTAGTCGTAGTGAATACTTGAATGATATTTTAGCTATCAAATAGAAATACAGTTATAGTGGTGATAGTAGTTACAAGAGTAGTTAAGATGGAAGCAACAGCCTGGTTGACCATGCAGGCACTGGAAAAGACTGACCCAAGGCCAGGCTCTGGGAGTAGAACTCTCGAAACTCATAAAAGGTATAAACTATAAATATGCAGAACAGCCACTGTGAGAAAATAGTGAAATTCCAAGCGCTGACATAATTTCTCATAATTTTTTGTGAGAAATCACAAAAGCGCTTGGAATTTCACTATTTTCTCACAGTAGCTGTTCTGCATATTGTGATGTCACCTGTTTACTGTGTTCTTATTGTATAAAGTATAAATGTGTTTTTGATACATCACTCCTGTTAATAATAGTAAATGATGATATTATTATTATTTGTGGGCAATTCAGTTTCCTTATATATTTGTGGGAAGTGGAGGGAATGGTGATTATCCAAGAAAGAGGAGCACAAATGCAGCTCCTTGGATCAAGAGCCCCTCTCCAGCATCCTTCTCTAGGGGGATCCAGTTTCCTCTTGAAAAGTGAATGCGCCTCTCCTAAGACATGTTTATGATTGCAGGTGAGCAAGGAGGAGTACGACACGTGCAGGATCACTAACCCGTCTCCTCGCGTCATCGCCGTGTGTGACAAGCCTTACAAGCTCATGTATTTCACCATTACCTTCCGATCGTTCACTCCGCAGCCTGGGGGTCTGGAGTTTCGTCCCGGCCAGGACTACTACTTCATCTGTGAGTACTTCACTACCACTGTACAGTACAGTAGAATCCCTGTATCCACGGATTCAGTATCCACAGTTTCAGTTATCCACCAGTTTACTCTGGCCCTAAAATAACCCTTAATTATGCCTAACCCTTTAACTGTCCAAACGTAGATCTACGTCCACGTGTGTGGAGCTTCGAATGTAGATCTATTTTTTTTTTTTTACATGCTTTCAAATGGGAAAAATCAAGATTGGAGCGCTATGCACACGAACATAGATCTACGTTTGGACAGTTTAAGGGTTAATAATGACCCTAAAACACAAAAGTGATGATGCTGGCAGTTATTCAGAGCTTAAGAGAAGCCATGAAAATTCTAGACTTATTTTGCATAATTTACCAGCTGAACTTATCATGGGTACATATGTAAGTAGAGTAGTGCCCCAACTTGTAAATGGGTTACAGTTCTGTTGTTTCAACTTACAGGTCATTTATAGTTATTGGGGTTTCAAGCCTAGCAGTTGTACTATGATGATATTGGTGGCCTGGTTGGCAAAGCTCTTGCTTAACGTTGAGGGTCCGTGGTTCAATTCCTGGCAAGGGTGGAAACACTGGGTGTGTTTCCATAAGACACCTGCTGTCCCTATTCACCCATCAGTAAAATAGGTGCCTGGGTGGTAGTTGACTGTTGTGGGTTGCATCCTGGGACAAAATTGATCTAATTTACTTGAAATGCTCTGCATAACAAGTGGCTATATTAGTAAGTCATTGATGTCAGCTAGGTCAGTTTTGTCCCAGGATGCAACCCACACCAGTCCACTAACACCCAGGTACCTATTTACTGCTAGGTGAACATCAACAGCAGATGTCTTGAGGAAACATGTCCTAATACTTTCACCTGTACTAGGGATCAAACCATGGACCTCAGAGTGTGAGGTGAGAGAGAGTAGCTTTCAACTCTTACTTACACTCTAGTTCACTCAGGTGGAATGATTCAGGCGTGTCAGAAGTACAAAAATTGGTATATATGAAATAGGACACCTTTTTCATAATTGGTTAAAAGTTAAAACAATGTAAACCATACCACGGGCGGAGTTAGAACCCGCCCGTTTGTTTGCAATCGTGTCATTACGATTTCGTGAATCAAGTTAAAACAATGTTCTGGGTTGGTAGTTCATTATTTTTATATTCATAGGGAAGCACTAGACCTGTAAGGGTCATACAGTGCTTGGGGGGAATGAGGTTTGTTGCAAGGAAGGGGAGGGTACAGCTCTAAATCACTAGGATCAAATGCACTTTCTGCACAGTTATGCAAGTGATGTACACTGCACATATCAGTCATTGTTATTATCTTGTTTCTGTATTCGTGTTAAATTTTTCACATTTTGACAGGATTTCTAATTATTTTCTGTCATGAATATGTAAGATAACAGGTAAATCTTACATGATTGTTTTCCGTCTCATAAACATGTAAGATAACAGGTAAATCTTACATGATTGTTTTCTGTCTCATAAACATGTAAGATAACAGGTAAATCTTACATGATTGTTTTCCGTCTCATAAACATGTAAGATAACAGGTAAATCTTAGTTTTCTACTAACTTCAAGTATACACATACCATTCCTTTCCAGTGTGCTTCTTCACAGTTATTAATTCTGTAATACAGACATACCTTGCTAGTACAGAAGTTACGTTCTGGAGAACTCAACCATTTATTATATATGCGATAGCGCTAGACCCAAAACATGATGCTCGTCAGCTGATGTGTTCATCACTGCCACAAACCATCCTAAGAGCAAAGCAAGCATCGATGATGATAAACCTAATATGTAATTGAAAAGTGTTGTACAGGAAGGCTCCACTTGACAGCACTTCTCTCTACAGCATTTCACTAATACAGTGAGGTATGTCTGTACAGTAAGTCCTCGTTGAGAATCTCCTGTATTGTGGATATCGTTATTACGTATATTGTGTATAATATCATTATTATATTATTATACACAATACAGTGATGGAGTGAATGATGATGAAAGTTTTTCTTTTTCGGGCCACCCTGCCTTGGTGGGAATCGGCCGATGTGTAATAAAAAAAAACGCAGTACAAAAGGTCCTCAATGTGTTCGTAAGTTGAGGAATTACTGTATTTCTTTTCCAGTCTAGGAGGCCTGGTCTGAGACCAGGTCACGGGGAAGAGAATTTTCGGAATCACTTAACATATTGGCAAAAAAAATCTAAGAATTTTAACCTCAAATAAATATTGAAAATCATGTCATGCATCTCAGTATTTTAATTAATACACTATAAGTCTTGCATCAATATTTCCTCTTCTTGTTACTGTGAGTAGGCAGGATGAACAGCAAGTACTAGGCCTAAAAAATTTTTGTCACCCCACAGCTACTTCGAGCAAGGACGACCTTCACCGTCGCATCGGTGGCCGCTGCTCGACTCACCATATGAAAGTAGTGTTTAAAGTGTGTTGTGACCCATCGTCGCAGCCAGCACACGACCAGGCTAACAACCACATCCCTAGCAATGGTAGGTACTGCTGTCATGTACAGAGATTATCCACAACAATGGTAGGTACTGTTGTCATGAAGGGAGAGTATCCACAACAGTACTGCTGTCATGTAGGGAGAGTATCCTCAACAATGGTAGGTACTGCTGTCATGTAGGGAGAGTATCCACAACAATGGTAGGTACTGCTGTCATGTACAGAGATTATCCACAACAATGGTAGGTACTGCTGTCATGTAGGGAGAGTATCCACAACAATTGTAGGTACTGCTGTCATATAGGGAGATTAACCACATGAAGAGATCATTGTACAAACTCATGTGAGACAGGCACTGGTAAGCAATAATAGCAGTTGTGGTGGGATACAGATAAGATCATTTTGGTGTAATCATAACAACAGACTTTGTCCATTGTTTACGAATCGGTGAATGCAGCAGATTTTGTCCCATATTTACAAATAATGCAGTTAAATTGTGGCTAACCATAAATGTGTCCCTGTGAATTTGCTGGCTAATGATAACAATAGAGAGATGGTGCATAAAATGGAAAATAAATTTAAATCGGAGAGAAAATCTTTATGCAAACTTAATTTATGGGGAAGAGTCATCCCTAAAAATATTAAATTGTGATGTAGGGATAAGTTTAAATTGTAGATGATGTAATAGTGGGGATGTTACAGTCCTGGAGGTGGGAAGTATACTCTGAAGGATGGGTAGGGATGTTACAGTCTTGAAGGTGGGAAGTACAGTACCTGTACTCTGAAGGATGGGTGAGGATGTTACAGTCTTGGAGGTGAGAAGTACAGTGCCTGTACTCTGAAGGATGGGTGAGGATGCTACAGTACTGGAGGTGGGAAGTACAGTACCTGTACTCTGAAGGATGGGTGAGGATGTTACAGTCCTGGAGGTGGGAAGTATACTCTGAAGGATGGGTAGGGATGTTACAGTCTTGGAGGTGAGAGTACAGTGCCTGTACTCTGAAGGATGGGTGGTGATGCTTACAGTACTGAAGTGGGAAGTACAGTACTCTGTTACCCTGAAGGAGGAGTTGACGGTTTTGGTCAGCTTGGAGGTAAAAGTACAGTGTGTACTTGAAGATGGGTGAGATGCTCAGAACTGGAGTGGTAAGTACATCCTTACTCTGAAGGATGTGTGAGGATTGGTTCAGTCTTGGTAGGTGAGAAGTTACATTGCCTGTACTCTGAAGGATGGGTGAGGATGTTACAGTCTGGAGGTGGAAGTACAGTGCCTGCACTCTGAAGGGTGCGTGGTGATGTTACAGTCAGAAAGTGAAATCATGCCTGTACTCTGATATCAAAACCCACCATGAAGAGGGCTATGACGCCGTTTCGTTGACATGATTACAAATACAGTGGATGAATTTTATCAAGTCAGTTGAGACTTGTAATGGCCAAGTTGTACGAGACATCGTTGAGCTCCTCTCATTGAGTTAATTGAATTTGTCATCGGTATTGTCTTTTTTTGTATTCCGTACTGAAAAATAGGACAGTGGATTACTGATTGAAGAGTGGGAAAGACAGTGCCTGACTTGAAGCCGTTAGCAGCTGTTGCAGTCCAGAGAATAATTTGATCGTGAATGTCAACATCCTTTCTGGCAAGAGACACCGTGAATGAGTAGGGTAATTTTTGATCTGAGAACACGCCATTCTAGGAGATCAGCCGTAGGTAAAGAAATAACTTGTTTATTTTTGTGAATATTGACTATTCCTGAAAATAGGCTACAAGTTGGGATCACTGATACAGAAGGGAATGAAGACATACATGCATTAACCTTTCATTGTCAGTCCCACAAAATTATTATTTATTTTTTTCCTGAAATGTCGAATCTTTTCTAAAAGTAAGACACCCAAAGTAGGAATTTGTGTAAACCACAAATACTCAGGTCAAAATTAGTCATACTTGGCACAATTTACGCATCGGTGATTTCATCGACTTTGAGTCCAAATTCTTAGCTATTTCATTAGTATGCTTTCCATTCTATTGATTTAGCATAAGAAATTGCCCATTCAACTATTACAACAGAAGTCAGTAATTTGGCCAATTTTACAAAAAAATGATAAAAATGCCAGTTTAAAAATAGAGTCCAAAATAAACATTGTAGATATTCCTGGCACTAAAGCAGTATTTCCTCTGTCCATTAGTCCTGTCCCCCAGGCCTCTCCTATGTTATACTTGCTTTCTATTTTGAATTCACAGTCATGCAAAATATAATATTTACTCTTTCTCTAATAATAAAATATAACCAGGAACAATTGGTCATGGTTTATGGCATCCCAGTAATTGAATCAGACTTAGCAAAAAATCTGAAAAAAATTGAATGTTTTTGCTAGATTGAGCTCAATTTCCAGCCACTTCCAGTCCTGAAATCAACCTAAATCATCTCTGTTTCAACGGTATGTCTTTAATTCTATCAAATAATACCAAGACACAGCCAATAAAACTATAAAAACCATCTGAGAAAGCACCTCTATCACTATTTTGAACCACACATTTGGTCAGTTTTGCTTTTCCCATCATACACTGCATAGGGCAAGATTTTTTTATACTGTGCACATTCACTGTAAAGATCCATTCTCTCATATCCAGACTAAAATTTACCACTCACAGCTTATCTGATTGAGCCGAGCTCATGGCTTAGAACTACACGAGGGACCCTGGCCTCAGAGATGTACAGGTGCTCCTCGACTTGCGATATTTTAATTTTATGATGGTTCAAAAGCAGTTACAGTGTACCCTCGCCTAATGATATTAATCCGTTCCTGAGAGCTCAACATTAGGCGAAATTATCGTTAGCCGAATTAATTTTCCCCATAAGAAATAATGGAAATCATATTAATCCATTCCTGACACCCCAAAGTATGAAAAAAATTTTTTTTACCACATGAAATATTAATTTTAATACACACAAACTGAAGAAGACATGCACAATTACATGACACTTACCTTTATTGAAGATCTGGTGATGATTGATGGGATTGGAGGAAGGGAGACTGTGGATGGTGTTAATGTTTAGAAGGGGAATCCCCTTCCATTAGGACTTGAGGTGTCAAGTCCTTTTCCGGGTTTACTTCCCTTCTTCTTTTAATGCCATTAGGACCAGCTTGAGAGTCACTGGACTTCTGTCGCACAACATATCTGTCCATAGAGCTCTGTACCTCCTGTTCCTTTGAGATTTGTCTAAAATGGGCCGTAACACTGTCATTGTAATAGTCACCAGCACGGCTTGCAATAGCTGTGTTAGGGTGATTTTCACCCATAAAGGTTTGCAGTTCAACCCACTTTGCACACATTTCCTTAATCTTTGAAGTAGGCACAGTGGATTCCACAACTGGCATAGGCATCTCAGGGTTAGCCCCAAACCCTTCAAAATCTTTCTTAATTTCCATACTAATTCTCACCCTTTTTATCACAGGGTTGGCACTAGAAGCTTTCTTGGGGCCCATGGTGACTTATTTTGCAGGTGCAATCACTAAAAACGCTGTGATAATGTGAAATGTTCCGATTGTATGTTTGGATGCGACTGCGGTGGCTGGCTTGTAAACACTGGCACCCACGGGACAAGCGAGGCGCGCTCAGGCCACATGTGGACGCGTCTCGAACGGAACGAATCGCATTGGGCGAGTTTTTTAGTGCTAACCGAGGCAAAATTTTTGCGTTAAAATGTATCGCTAGGCGGATTTAACGTTATGCAATGCGTTCGTTAGGCGAGGGTCCACTGTACTTTGGAGGTGAAACTAAGATAATTACCCAGTGTGAAGGCAGCAAATCTCTAACTTCTTCTTTCAGCGCACCGGCCGTATCCCACCGAGGCAGGGCGACCCAAAAAGAAAAACAAAAGTTTCTATTTTTAGCTTTAGTAATGTATACAGGAGAAGGGGTTACTAGCCCCTTGCTCCCAGCATGTTAGTCACCTCTTACAACTTGCATAACTTATCGGAGGAAGAATTCTGTTCCGCTTCTCCGTGGAGAAAATCTGTAACGTGTATTCATTTATGTATCTACTTTTCAATACTGATAGTTACAGTAATTATTTGTTTATTTACTTATTGAGTGACAATAGTTATTTATTTACTTACCTTATTTTCTGGCATATAAGATGTGCACAACAACTGTAAATTAGTAATCATATTCAAGGGTTAATTGCTCTCTTACTTTATGCTTAAGTGTAACCCAGAGCTGACCCTTGACCCTGACCTTGAGCATATAAGGTACAGGCTGATTTCCTAAGACTTTTTGTGGGGAAAAAGGTCCGCCTCATATGCCAGAAAATCCGGTAATTATTTATCACATTTATCACAGTGATTATGTGTGAGTGAGGTGAAAGTGTCGAATGATGATGAAAGTATTTTCTCTTTGGGGATTTTCTTACTTTTTGGGTCACCCTGCCTCAGTGGGAGACAGCCGACTTGTTGAAAAAAAAAAAAATTGTATTCGATGTATATTTTTGATTTACAGTGAGCTCGTCGGAACGTAATCCCTTCATAAATCAAGCAGCAGCTGTAGTTCTTATAACAGTCATGGAAAGGGTTAAGAATGAGAATAATGACTTTAACACTGGTGCTAAAGCCCCTTACATCACTTGGAGGGCCCTGTGTGTTTACATTCGGCGGGTGGAAAAAACATTTCGACAAATCTTATTCCTTACAACTGTGTCCTGTTCACCTATGCAGAATTCGGTACCTGGTGTTAGTCGACTGGGTGTGGTCGATCCTGGGGGACAAGATTAAGGACCCAATGAATATAAGTATAGACAGTCTCGTGAAGTCTGACTTTCTTGGGTTTTCCTGCTGGCTAACCCTCCGGGTCTAAAAATTCCAAACGAAATTTATCTTATTTATATCTTAACATCCTTTGAGATTAATCTTCTTATTTGTGTAGTGATTTTATTAGGTAGTATAATATTTATTTTAATAACCATTTTTATATACAATAATAATACATATATCATTATTATACATAACAGAAGGTCCCCAGTGCGTTCTTAAGTTGAGAACTTCCTGT